CAAGATCTCACCAGTCACCTGTATTGGGGCTAGTCTAACAACACTTTTTACAGCAATACAATCATGACATAAAAGTATGGTACTTTTTTTCTATTAATATAATTATACTAGTATAATCTTTAACATGGATGCTGTTATACTGGTATGCATATGCTTTTACTCACAAAGCTTATTCTTATATGGGGAGAGGAATACAGGAGTAATCGCATTTATTTGAGCATAACCTCATCCAAACTAGGTGCCTATATTGTTTAACTATAGCGGCATGGCTAAAATGATGCAACATTGTATGCACACATAAGGGTTTAAATTGGTGAGAATTAAGGATTTGCTATATAAGATCTGGCAAAGCCTTCTAGAAGCACAACTATCAGCATGCTGCTTATTATATGCACCTCAGAAAACAGTTCTCCAGGTAACTTTGAAAATATTTAAATGTTCTATGCAAAATGTTCTTGTAAATACTATTCAAATAAGGTATTCTTGGAAATAAACAAAACTTGCTTCATAAGTAGCAAGAAGAAATTTAGAATAATTAAATAAACAAAAAGAAATTGTCAACGATATTCTGCTGCACTGAGCAAAGAACAGGCCTAAAATGGGAATAGGTGTACTAATCCATTCAGCCTTCTATTATGGTAACAAGATTATGGAGATGAACCTTTATGAAATTCAGTACTCAGCACTACCTAGTTGGTTTAAGAAACTACTGTGCTGATATGGCTCAGTTAGCAGTATTTGCACTCCTAGGTTAAAAGTAGCGAATTCAAGGACTTGAGTTCAAACCTAATGCCGATGGTGTGGCATTGCTGGCTTCTGGAAGTGCTATTTCCTAGATCACATGCTAAACCAAGATTACCCCTACCCACATTTGTTGAATGTTCAAGTGGAAGCTATAGGTTTGTTGTACTTTTCAAAAAGAAGAGGGGGATAGCCCCAGATTCCTGGCCAATCTTTCCAGCTCAGTTAAACAGGTTATAACGTTCAGTGGAAAAGTTTGAACTACAGGTGAGGGAGACACTGTTGCAGAATTTCTTATTCAATCACCCTACCTTAATGTGTGGAATAGTTCATGTCTGTGTTCATGAACACAGTACCCCTGGCAGCTGGGGAGGGGCATGGCTGCGCTGAAGGTGGCGGGAACACGGCAGCAGAAGCGTAGCAGCAGCAAGTGCAGAGCTCCCGAGGAGTTCCTTTGTGTATTTAAACATGGGGAAAAAACAGAAGGAACTTGCCCTCCTGCTAGCTAGGAAAAACTCAGACCTAGTGGGGCTCACGGAAACCTGGTGGGATTCTACCCACCACTGGGCAGTAGACATCGAGGGACACAGGCTGTACAGGTGAGACAAAGCAGGGAAAAGGGGGGGGGGTAGGGTGTAGCGCTATATGTCAAAGAGCAATACACATCCCCAGTGATCAGGATGGGGTCAGAGGAGGGGCAAAATGAGGTGCTCTGGATAAGAATGCAAGCGGGGCACAGGGAAAAGGGACTTGATAGTGGGCGTCTACTACAGAGAGCCTCAGAGGAACGAGCTGGACCCAGAATTCTCAGGTAAGCTCACAGAGGCAGTTAAGTTAAAGTATGTGGTTATCATGGGTGACCTAAACTACCCAGACATCTGCTGGGAGGAGCAGTCAGCCAGGTCTGACTGCTCACGTAGGTTCCTAGCTGGGATACAGGACCTCCACCTAACCCAGGAGGTACACAATCCCACCAGGGGAAATGTCTTGCTGGACTTGGTGCTTGCCACAGGCGACAACCTGGTGATGGGGTCTGCGGGTACTCCACCACCTAGGCGACAGTGATCATTGCCTGCTAGAATTTACTATCCAGCGCAGGGTGGTGAAAGCAAGCAGCAAGGCAGAGGTCCTCGACTTCAGGAGGGCCGACTTCTGTAAACTAAGACGGTTAGTAGGAGAGGCACCGGGGTCTTGGAGCGTCAATGAGATGGGAGTTCAAGACAGGTGGTTGTTCCTCAAGGAGATGATCCTCTGAGCTCAAAGGGAGTCAGTCCCAATGTGCACCAAAGGGGGCAAGAGTACTAAGAAGCCCCCATGGCTTGGCAAAGGCATCCAGGGATGCTTGAGGGCAAAAAGGGAGGCGTCCAAACGGTAGAAGCAAGGGGCGATCACCAAGGAGGATTACACCTCCTTTGCTCGGGACTGCAGGGAGGCTGTTAGGAAGGCCAAGGCAGAGATGGAGCTAGGGCTAGCAACCAGCATTAAGGATAATAAGAAGTCCTTTTTCAAACACATAGGAAATAAGAAGGCAACGGGTAACATGGGGCACCTACAGATAGGCTTGGCAGCCTAGCGACTGTGGCAAATGAAAAAGCTGACCTCTTTAACGAATTCTTTGCCTCCATATTCCTGAACAGGGACCGGGACATCTCTCCCACTAGAACTGCAGATGGACCCAGGGGAGGCACTGCCATGCCTAAGGTCAGGGATGACCTAGTTAGGGAACTTTTGGAGGGGCTGGACGTGTTTAAATCAGTAGGTCCAGATGCTCTTCACCCGAAGGTGCTGAGGGAATTGGCGGGGGTCATAGTGGGGCCCTGGCACGGCTCTATAAGGACTCATGAGGCACTGGCCAGGTACCGGAGGATTGGAAAAGGTTCAACGTGGTCCCCATTTACAAGAAGGGGAGAAAGGAGGACCCCAGCAATTATAGGTCAGTCAGTCTTACCTCAGTCCTTGGGAAGACCTTTGAAAAAATTATCAAGGAGCACATCTGCAAGAGCCCAGCAGGGGAGCTAATGCTCAGGGGCAACCAACATGGGTTCACTGAGGGCAGGCCCTGCCTGACTAAACTTGTTTCTTTTTATGATCAGGTCACAAAGTCCCTGGACGAGGGTGTCGGGGTGGATGTCATCTTCCTGGACTTTAAGAAGGCCTTTGGCATGGTTTCCCACCACATTCTCTTAAAAAAACTAGGTGGCTGCAGCATTGATGCCTACACAGTCAGATGGGTGTCAGATTGGCTAGATGGTTGCACCCAGAGAGTAGTGGTGGATGAGTCATTTTCAACCTGGAGGGATGTGGGCAGTGGAGTCCCCCAGGGCTCGGTCCTGGGGCCTATTCTGTTCAACATCTTTATCAGCGATCTGGATGTGGGTGTGGAATGCATACTGTCCAAATTCGCTGATGACACTAAGTCGTGGGGCAATGTGGGCATGCTGGAGGGGAGGGACAGAATCCAGCTAGATTTAAACAAATTACACAGGTGGGCGGATGAGAATAGGATGCAATTCAACGCAAACAAATACAAGGTGTTGCATCTAGGGAGAAGGAACTAGTAACACACCTATAGGCTGGGGAACACCCTTCTTATCAACATGGTGGCAGAAAGGGATCTTGGAGTCACTGTTGACTCCAGGATAAACATAAGCCACCAATGCAAGGAAGTGGTTAGTAAGGCTAACCGCACCTTGTCATGCATCTACAAGCAGGTCCAGGGAGGTGATCCTTCCCCTCTATGCAGCACTGGTTAGGCCACAGTTGGAGTACTGTGTCCAGTTCTGGGTACTGCACTTCAAGAGGGATGTGGCTAGCATTGAGACGGTTCAGAGCAGGGCCACTTGCATGGTCAAGGGGCAGCGGGGCAGGCCCTACAAAGAGAGGCTAAAGGGCCTGAACCTATTCAGCCTCCACAAGACAAGGCTGAGAGGGGATCTGGTGGCCGTTTACCAACTCACCAGCAGGGGGACCAGCAGGAAATTGGGGGAGGCTCTGTTCCCCCAGCCACCACTCGGGGTTACTAGGAATAACGGCCACAAATTGTTAGACAGAAGGTTCAGGCTGGACATCAGGAGACATTACTTTACCGTTAGGGCTGCCAGGCTCTGGAATGGGCTCCCAACTGAGATGGTACTCTCTCCTACCTTGGGGGTCTTCAAGAAGAGGCTGGACAGAGATTTGGCTGGGCTGATATAACCCCTGTACCCATTCCTGCCTGGGGCAGGGGGTGGGACCTGTTGATTTGTTTAGGTCCCTCCGACCCTAAGCACTATGAAACTAAGATGTGGGTTTGGCATTTGCGAATATTTGAAACCGTGAATGCTGAACCTGCACATAGTGAGGGTTTCTTGTATTTAAAACAGGGGGGGCAGGGGAGGGAGCGGGCAGCAGGCAATAAGTGACCATAAAAATATAAATCTGTGAACGTCTGCTTCCCTACAACTGTGTGTACGTGTCCATGTGCATACGTGTATGCAAAGATCAATAACACATTATTAGTGTTGTGATTTCTTGATCAAAATGATGCAAGATATATAAACATGACAAGGAAAACGTGCAACTGTTTCTACAAAATGAGACCACAATACTACTGAAGGAAACTTTCATTTCACATTTCCTTCTTTCTTTCTAAGTAGAAATATAATGTTGCATTCTCACTGATTTCCCAGTTACTTCTTTTCTATCTTCATTCATACACTGCACCCCCATCAGCAATCTTACCTTTATCGTGCAATTTTTAAAAAAACTGTCCTCATTTAGTAACTAACCTAGTTTAAAAGCTGTCCCTTTATCACAGATTTCAAACACCAGCCATTCTTGTTTAGTAAGGGCATTTTTACTATGGAAGCTGTAGAGGGAAGAAATTGTATTTAACACAAGGCACAGATTCTATATTAAGACAAACATATAATTGTAAAGCCTTTATTCCAATACACAAATTCTATATTTTTCAACTAAATAACTGTATATGAAAGAGCTACTTCTGAAGGGGCATTGATAAAAGAAGAAAATCCTTGAGTTGTACAAATACAAGAGTGAAAACCCTACCCTTCCCCCGACATCTCCCACGAAAGAAAGATTAGTACCTGGCAGCTATGCAGACAGTTATTGATTTAAATGATTATGGACCCAAAAAGTTGTTTCCTGTCATTTATTATCCTGTTATAGTTGCCACTGCACTTGTACAATGTTAAAAAGATGCTTAGCAAAATTACACTTCAAAATACTGTTGATAACTAAAGACCGGAGGAGGTAGTCACCTGATGGTTTCTTCTTGATACAGTGAGCTGACAACTGGGCCTCCAAATGTGGTTTTTCCTCCTTTTCCTTTCTTCTCTGTGGTCTGAAAGAAAAAATTGGTAGGGTGGACTGCTTTATACTGTAACTTAGGTGGGGGGGGGCAAGGGAGATGCGGGGGATGAAGAGGTAGGGCTGGATGAAAATGCTGCTGTGGGATCCTTCCCCTTATTTCCTACCAACTTGCTCCAATACTTTATGTCTCTGCGCCCCTCATTCTACACAAAAGGTGGAGGCCTCTCTCCGAAAACCCCCCAATCAATGCTCTTCTGAGCAAACTACAGCTGGGAGTTGCTTGAGAGGTACACAACGTACCTCTTCTTTCACCTCCTCCACTCAAAAGAATGAGTGTACTGCCTTCCCAGCAGCTTTGGCTACTTAGGACCCAAATGCTGATCCTTTGAGAGACAGCATAACATTATATTACTAGACTGCAAAGCTCACCTTTATAAATCTATTTAATATAGATTTAAATTAAATTCTATCATGAGCAGCCTTTCCAAATGATTTACTCCAAGGAACTCTAGGAATCTTAATTATTTCTACCAGAATAGAAAAGAAGAATTAGAATACCAATTGATCAATATATAGCCCAAGGCCTAGATTAAAAAAAAAAATTACTAGCAATTTTGGGTGCTCAATTTAACATGCCATAAGAAGTGGCTTAATTATCAAAAAGTGCTAAGCATTTACTCCCTGAAAATCAGACCACTTCAAAAATGTCAACTGGTGCATCAAAAGCCATATTTATTTTTAAAAATGTGAAGCCAAAATTTGTATTACCAGTTAAAACAATTCTCAATTTACAGTGGTAACATTTTGCAAACATTATCAACTGAAAATGTGAATTATTACTACTAGACCAAGGGTGGCCAACCTGTGGCATGTGTGCTACAAGTGGCATAGGTAGCCTCTGCATGGCATGTTGCAGATCAAGAAGGGAACAAGGAACACAACTGCCGATAAAGCAGGGAGAAGGCAGAGCAGCAGATCTGGCAGGGGAAGGGGACTAGAATAGTCCTTGGGGAGGGTGTGGTGCTTAATTTGGGGGAGGCATGCAAAAAAAGTTGGCCCCTGCTGTATTAGGCAAATGCCATGTTTCCCAGCCACCCTGCTTCAATCAAAAAAGGGGAAAGATGCATCTCACTCCAAAACCAATTACCTTTAATGATTAACTTACAATCATTCTGGGAACTACATAATATCCTAAAACAACAATACAGGGAAGGTCATATCCACTATACAAGTTATAAATAACAGATGTAATTTACCATTGATAAGATCCAAAGTACACTGTTGTACTGGAGAAGCTACAGTGAAGGGATACTGTTATGCTCAAATGCATTTGAAAAAGCAAAGGCCTTCCCCTCTATTGCTACCAGCAGCTTAGATTATTCAAAGTAAACAAAAAATACATTTCAGCACGTTTACTTTTTCTATCTATTAATAAATAGAAATACATAGGATTAATACATTCTATTTTCAAACTTTCCTATATTATGACAATGCTGTAATATTTGAACTGAGACTTGAAGAAGGGTACTTGGTACCCAAAAGTTAGTCTATATTCCTTTCAACTATACAGTTTGCCTAACCAAAAGACATCACCTACAAAAACCCTTTCCTAAATGTTACAGGCATGCTTGTTCAAAGAATTAAATGGTAAGTAAACATTTTAATTGGCTTTAGGGTTTGTAAAAAGCTGTCCCCAAAACTTAATTTTTTGTCAAATTTCATCCAACAATGAGCCAAGTGCTCTCTCTTCTATTCTCAAAAACAGTCTTGTTAAAATTATGGCAAAAGGAACTGCCCCACTGTTACTTTCATTTTTGATATGGAGAAACACTGAGGAATGATTGCACACAACTCACAGACAGAAATATCTTTTAATTTCCACTATAAATAATCAAGCCTCATGAAAAACATTTTCTCCTAAGTTTCTTCTCATCATTATGATCTAATTTCAGATGCCACCATGACTGCATACCTCAGAGATCATCACCTAGTACCCGAGTCCAGATATGAGAGAAGATCAAAAGGACTCTACCAATACAAGAATTTTGCTAACTAGATGTACCTACATGCATGCATTTACTACTACAAATTACTTTTAAAAGGAAAAGAATATCACATTTATAAACATCTTTAACATTTCTCACACACAAATTAAATGTTGAAACACTGAAGACAACACTCTCCTAGGATTAACGTGGTTTCCAGAAAACAGCTTGAAAGTTATAAGCAGCTAGCAATCATTATGGTAACTTTTATATGCATTGTTCTCTTAGTTGAATTTCTTCATGCTTAAAAAGTAAAGATCATCTACAGGCATCTTCCCTACTTTTATATGATCCTAGTTTAAGAAGGTACTTAAGCATGTGCTTAACTATAAAGCATATGGGTAGTCCCATTTCTTTCAATGGGAACACCTATACTTACGCCACAGTTGTATAACTGGAAGCCTGTAAGAGGTTAACATGCAGCCTGTGGGCTCCTGTCCACCCACCACTTTTCCCACCGTTCCTGCTGCTATGGTGGTTAGAGATACTGGGTTCCCCCTCTCTCCCGGTTTCTGCCTCTGCCCCTGCTCAGGGAACAGGACCAGAGAGGAGTCTGTATTGCCTAAGCTCTGCACACAGCTGAGGGAAGAGGAGTCAGGCTAGGCTGCCCAAGGGGAGGGAAGGGGAGAAGGCTGCTTGCACGGTGAGGGAGGGGAGGGAGGAGAAGAGAAGATGAAACAGGAGGGCGTTCCCTGCAGTGTACAGTCCATGCAATATGTGGCCCAGGGGTCTGCAACACTCCCCCCACCCCACTTCCCCTAATGCCCAGAAGTTGAAGATCTGACTTAAGCTTATATACATGCTTGTTGAGTCTTTTGACAAACCAAGGTATTATTGTAATGGCAACGTGGAAGTTGGGAGTTCTGGTATCTTCCCTTGATAGGTTTCACACAGGCAAATACCCAGTCCTCTAAAAAAAAAATTCAAATCCTATGACAAAGCTGTTCATTAATATTATTATTCTTTATTTCATGTCAAGAGAGGGTGGCTATCCTGACACAGACTGTTTTGATATCCAAATCTTTGGTGTATTCCTTTTCAAAATATATATTTCTTATTCCTAGTCTTCACACAAATGTATACAAGTTTTAGAATATAATTCTTAAGGTTACATATATGAGTGATGTCACTTTATAATAATTACTTTATTCTTCCAACCAGAACAGATAGTATATCTCCTTCCAGTCTCACCCAATTGCAACTTGTGTTTACTTTTAATTTTTACTTTAAAAAAGATAAAAAATATTTTATCTTCAATACTAGGCCCTGTTAATTAGCGGTGTGGGTCCCCCTAAAGCCCAAGTCTCACAGTTCAAGCTTCATGCATTGTTAGCATTTACATTTATAAGCAATCATTGGCATACGTGGAATTGCACAGGTATTTAGAAGACTATGTCTCAGGCCCAGAAAGTTCAGTGTAAATTCTCTCCAGATGTAAAAAAGCTACAATAACCTGAACAGAAGGACAATAAAAGCTCAGTTCAGTGGAAGAGCAACACAATAATAGAAGAAAAGATGAGGAAATGATTACATTTGATCTACTTGTTAAAAACTATGAGAAATGGTAATTTGTAAGAGCAAAGAGAAAAAAAAAGTCTGACAGACAGCACTAGTGTGTTCTAAGCATGAGAGAAGCATGTAAGGTGGGTACAGAGGAGACAAAAGAAGACCAGATGCTCCAAGTTAAAGGCCATGTTAAAATGTTAACACCTCTATTTTGGTGCCTGAAGATTGCTCCCTCCATGCTTAGTGACTTATAAGCAGAACCATCTAACCTCTGAGTTACCAAGAGCTACAGGCTTTGTGGGATGCATACCCTCACAGCTGCATCACGCAGCACCCTCCTCCAGCCCCCTGCAAGTTAAACGACAATTACATTTATACCGTTTGCTACTTACCTACTGTTTAGTGACCAGGGAATAGCTCTGGCTTCAGCCCCTTATGTCTTCACTGCGTGCCCAGTGCTGCACAGGCCCCAGGCCACTGGCAAGGAGCTCTGGATGGAGAGCAGCGGTCGTGGCCAACCTGCTAGGGGGCTCACCATGCGAGGATCCAGCGGTGACCTATCAAACCCAGCACCACCTGCTCCAGCTGCCATGATGCCTCCTCAAGCTGAGCCAGCTGCATGCTCAGTCCCATCTCAGAGCTGGGCCAGGGCCTGCATGTCCCCAGCACCACCAGCAGGAGGGGGAAGGGTGCAGCATACTGGGCAAAGGCCACCCTATAGGGACTGGCCACTGCTCCCCCTGGGGCAAGCAGGGGAGGGTCCAGCCCGGCACTGTGGAAAAGATTTCTAGGTCTAGGCCATGATGGCACAAGTGCAGTGGCTAGTGCAGGGAGCCCATTGCCTGTTTTCCTGCCTAGGCCCTGCCACTGCAGGGGTGCCAGGCAGGCCCACCATAGGGCTAGAAGTCTCGCTGCTGTGGCAGGAACGCCCCAACTGACCCTTGCAGGGGGGCCCGGCACTGCCCTCCCTCCCTCCTTGTGATGGTGGGATCTGGGCACAGCAGAGGTCCACAGCCTCCGCCCCATGCACAGCCCCAGCCCCAGCCTGCAGAGGTGAGGGGAAGCAGCGGCTCCACAACTGAGCTGTGCTCTCTAGTGGCTCAGCTGCGCCCTCCACCCCCCACCAGTGGTCTGGTGCCCACACAGCGCTGGACACCCAGTAAAAACTTAAGGGACCAGGGCCATTTTCTGTTGCAGGTCACTAAACTAGGTAGCTAGCTATCGGTTAACCAATTAACCGATTTAATTAAAGGAGATTAGGCAGATAATTTTTTTAATGATATTTACACATCCCTATCATGCAGGCAACCCTGAGCCATGGGACATGACTTCCATGTGACGCACACCCTCTCCACCATATGGAAGGTGCCCACTGCACTGCACTTCACTGCACCAAAACCTCTTCGCTGCACAGGGTCTCCAGGTTCCTCTGAGCCCAAGGGCTGCACTCAGCCCTGTGGGCCAGGCTGTCCCACACCAT